CACCAGCCGCTCCGTGCGGGAAAATCGAGGCTTTCTGCTCCCATAAAGATGGACAGTCTCAGAAACCAAAGGAGCACTCGCCTCTGCCGCAGAGGGTGACTCTGATGGCAGTGAGCTTGTTTGCGTGTGTGTTGTCATTTATTTCGCTTTCCGAGGTCGCTGACTCTGGCATGTAAATAGCACGCCGCGAACCAGGAGACCGGAGGCTTTGGTCTAATTCTTTTCCTTCTTGCCGTGTGGCTTACGGTCAGTCCCGACCCTTCTCCGAGTTTCCATTTCTTCTGTGGAAAAGAAGTGGCTCTCACATTCTAAAGTTTTCACCAGTGCTGAATTCAGCACAAAGTTTGTTCACGCGGCAGGTATTGCCAGTGCATTCTTGTGCTGTGGCTGTGCCCGGTGTCAGCCAGCAACCATCGACTCTTCTCCAAAGGAACATGGCAGCCAGCAATGGGATCCTGGCAGTAAGTGGCAGTTTTGTGAACAGGAAAACAAACTCCAGTTGCCAGTGGGGTCACCTCTACTCCGCGCCATCCTGTGTGCCAGTTCAGAGCTGTGCCTCGTAGGACTTTTGGTGGCTGGTCTTTCAGAAGCAGATTGCCAGGCCTTTGTGAGAAGAGCCGGAATCAAATAGGCCAGGCTTGACGCCAATGCGCAGCTGGAAGAGACCCTCTAATCAGGTAGGTCTGTGAAGGCTGGGCTGCAGGTTGGGGCCCCTTGCAGTTCTCCTGCATCCCATATCCCACTGCTGTCCAGTGGATTCCAACTCACTATAGGACAGAGTAGAACTGCCCTATGGGATGTCTGAAACTGGAAGTCTTCCCACAAGCCTATTGCACATCTTTCCCCTATGAAGCAGTTGGTAGGTTTGAACCACTGACCTTTACGTTAGTAACAGAGTGCTTCACCCTCCAGGGCTCCTCCTTGATGCACCAGCGCTCTGTTCCCCCAGCTCTCCCACACCCATGTGGCTGCACCCATCAGACACTAAGTTGTGGGGTTTATCAACTGTCCCTATTCATGAAGGCTGTTGGGGAAAAGGCCAGCCCCCCACAACTAACCACGGGTTCGATAGGTGCAATTGTACAGTTAAAATATATGTATTATAATAAAGTCATAGAGAGCATGAGAGATAAAAGAGAGATTGAAAAAATGGAGTCAGACACATTTCATGGGGAGTCAGACACATTTCATGGTAGCATGCTCACCTCAGCCCCACTTGGTGGTCCACGTGGAGATGGGAGACCAGAGGGCAGGAGAGAGGGGGAGGGGAAGGAGGACAAGGGGAAAGGGAACAGGGGAGAGAGGACTGGAGAGGAGAGGGAGCCAATGAGAAGCCAAGGGAGATCTTAATTGCTAACCAAGGCTTATATACCTTTGGGGGGGCGTGCGAGACTAATTACAGGTAAAGACATACGTCACAGGAAAGGGTTGCACTATAGGTTATACAGCAATGAGAGGGGGACAATCTAGAGATATACATGCAATAGGAAGGGGAGGGATTGGGGTATACATGTGATAAGAAGGGTGGATCCTAGATTCAGGATGGCAGCCTAATTTTGGAGGTCACTGAGCTGGTTTGATCTGTTCTTTGGATCTCCATAGAGACCATTATCATCAGTAGGGTCTAAACCCCACCTACATGGACCAGGCTAACGTCACAATCCTTTAGGGAGCAGTAGCCCAATTGTCCTTAACAGCAGGGAGCGGGGTCCCATTAGTGGTCTGGCAACTGACTGCCTTCAAGGAGGATGTCTCTAAGCATCTAACTTCCCACCATATGCTGGCAAAAAAAAGCCTCTAATGTTTGGCATGTCTTTGGGGGAGACAAAGCTGGGGAAAAGTCTCTCTGTAATTCCACAGAAGGCATCTCAAGCAATTCCAGGAGGAAGTATTTCATCTCCCGGGGGGTTTATGAACCAGTCCGGGGCATGAAGTGGGGTGGAGGTGGGGAGAGATGGTGAGGAGAATTGGCAGGCGTGTGTCGCATCAACATAAGGACAGCTTCATGGAAGAGAACCCAGAGAGAGAACATGGAAAGTAATCAGACCACATGACCGAAGTCCGTTCTCGGATAGTTCTGTGTTTGTGCCGAATGAAAGGAAGCAAATCCACTAGGCTGGTTGGGATTTGATGGCACAGAGTCTCAAATACCCAAGAACAGGGCTAGGCAGTGAGTGGACGTGGGAGCCTCTGGAAGTGCAGGAGTTGGTCAGTGACACCACAAGACCTGTCCTTTGGGGAAGTTGCCTGGGCAGCGAGCACTGTACAGGCGATGAAAACCCCAGATGGAAGCCCACTGCCACCGAGTCAACTACGGCTCTCAGTGAGGGGGCCGATGTAAGGTTTCAAAAGTTAGCTAGGAGGCCATTGCTTGAGAGGGAGAGCGAGACCAGAGCCGCTGCTGCTGGGATGGGAGGGAGGGGCTTTGAGAGACCACATTCCAGATGGAGGCTCTGCAAGACTTGATAACAGGGCACGCAAGGGCTCAAGTGGAAAGAAATTGTTTTGGAAATGTTGATGGCATCTTATGTACAAGGATGCTGTATACCATTGAATGATGGATAAGATTTGTAAGAGCCCCCCAATAAAATGATTAATTACCAAAAAAAATTTTTTTTTAAAGCTATTTAAGTTTTTTTTTACAAAGCAAACTTATCACCTTCTAAGTCAGCGGTTCTCAACCTGTGGGTCGTGACCCCTTTGGGGATCGAATGACCCTTTCACAGGGATCGCCCAATTCATAACAGTAGAAAAATGACAAAAAAACCAAGTGTACAAGTGGTTTTCTTGTTTCTAAAAAGGTAAAACGTCGATTGATGACAAACCTCATTCTAGATGTCCGTCAACTTCCCAGAAGAAGGAAAATGTCAAAGGGAAACATCCGTCAAGCCAGTGGAAGATGCCGTCATCACCTAACCCAAAAGAGCTCATCAAGTGAAATCAAGATCAAGACGATGCCCTTTTTCTTTTTTTTTAAAATGTGAACTGGATATTGCATTTGGAGAGAGTGGCCACACCTTAACTCCAAGCCCTGAGGGCATCATACCGGCATGAAGCAGCAAACTAACAGAGAAGTTTGCGGGTCGACCCCAATCCCAGCTACATCAACTCCCTCCCCAAGAGATTGCACTACAGAGGACAGCACAGAAGATACAGCCTGGGGAGAGTGGTGGGTCTGCCCAGAGCACATGGGAGCAAACTAAGAGGGAGAGAGAGAGAGAGAGAGAGAGAGAGAACCACACCTGGCCCACCAAGCCCCAAGGATGACACTTCTGCTTAGAGCAGCCAAGGCACAGATTGGACCGTAGGGCCGGCCCAACAGGAGATGCTAGGGCCTCACACTGACCCACAGCACTACAAAGGAGACACAGTCTGAGAATTGTGCCCGGTAAGACCACCCACACTGGGCAAAACACAAAGGGAGCACAGCAGAGCAGCAAGGGGAGCAAAGCAACAAAGTCCCTAAGGAATCCCGGAAACAGACTCAGATTCGGAGGGCAGGGCTTGGCACCTCATCAGATTCCATTGGAAAACATACAGAAGGTCAGCAGACAGACCTGGAATTGTTTATAGGGCCCTCATTTCTTCTTCTCCTTTTCCTCCTCCTCCTCCTCCTTCTTCATGTCCATCTATATAAGATAGGCAAGATAAACAATCCTGAGGAGAAAACAACAGACTGATGGTTGGGTGGGGGGAGAGGGAAGGGAGGGAAAGGGAGGAGGTAGCCAACAAACCCAGGGACAATGGAAAAACGAGATCTAAAATCAATGGCGAGGAGGGTGTAGAATGCCTGGTGGGGTTTGATCAAGTGCAGTATAGCTGAGATGAATTATTGATTGCTGAATGAAGGTTGAACATGATAGTAAGACAGGAGGAAACTGAAAGGAAATAGAGGAAAGAACTAGAAGGCAGAAGACATTTTATAGAGGTATAAATATAGGTATGTATATGATTATACATAAAGCATGTTATATTAATATATAACAATAGGAATCTAGGTCTATGCAAATACATTTATATATTAAGTATCAAGGTAGCAGACGGACATTGGGCCACTATTCAAGTCCTCCCTCAATGCAAGAACACTTTGTTCTAATAACCTGGCATTCTGTGATGCTCACCTTCTGGACAAGATCACAGAAGACAAAATGAGTGCATAAGCAAATAGGGTGAAGAGAGCTGATGGTGCCCGGCCATTAGAAGATATAGTGTCTGGGGTCTTAAAGGCTTGAAGTTAAACAAGCAACCATCTAGCAGGGAAGCAATGAAGCCCACATGGAAGAAGCACACCAGCCTGTGTGATCATGAGGTGTCCACAGGCTCAGGTATCTGGCATCAAAGACCCAGAACAAACAATCATATCATGTGA